AGTGTCAGAACTAAGCTTCACATGAAGATTTTCTAATTCCGGGTCCAGTATTGTTTATCAGACACTACACTGCACATTAACCAAGTTTTCTTAACTGGACGGCCATGAATCTCTTGAAAATATGTGCAAACATGTGTGGTGTGTGCAATGGGGAATAGTGGCATAATATTCTTGTATTAGATTTTCAAAGGAATTGGTTCCTTTGAAAAATGCTAAGAATCACTGGCCTATAAGTTCCTTGAAACAGGATCATGTTTTGTTCTTGACTGTACCCTTAGCATTACTATAATTAAAGGTGATAAGGACTCAGTAAATTTGTGGATGAATGAATAGAATATGTCAAATAATTTAAGACTATTTTCCAATGTTATTTGTATAATGTTAAATTGTTCTTACAATTTTATTTTCCCTGAATTATAATAACAGATATAGATATTTTACATATTTTTCCAAATAATCAAAATAAAATTGTTAAAATTGGGGGAGATAAACATTTTAATTAGACAATCAGTGTATTTGGTGGCATGTGCCAAACAGCACCTGAGGAAAGTAAAAACAAAAATAACTAATTAGAATTCAATTTAACTGATACTCAAGGGACAAAAAAAGTTATTCACGTTGATAAAAGTTATAACTCATAAAGAAGGTATGGCAGTCATGAAGTTTAGATACTAACTCACATGCAATCAAATTATATAAAAGTAAATATGATTTAAAAATACAATAAATTGACAGAAACAAAAATATAGAGGGAGGTAACACGATACTATCAAGCACAATATACATCAAGTAGACAAAAACGGTGGTATAGTTTTCATTTTCAAAACATAATTAACAACATTGAATACAGCTATAAATTAAATGTCATATTTTGAAGCATATACTATGCTTCCTTGTCCAGGATCTGTGAGATAGTTTCATATACTGGTCACAAATAAAACTTCAACAATATCCAAAAAAAAGAAATTGCACAGGTCACATTCTCAAGTCCAAATTTATAACTAGACATTAATATTGATAACAAAAAGAGAAAAACATTTCAAGTACCTAAAATTTTAATGTCTTTACTAACTGGGTTAAGATGAAATAAAAATAAAATTATAGATTACTTATAACATTTCAAAAGTTCAGATGTGGCCAACACTGTAACAGAAATAGCTACATATGCTGTTATTTTAAAAATAAAGAATCTGAAATAAATTGTGGAAATGGGAGAATTGGTAAAAGATAACAATCAAGAAAATTAGAAGAAATAATACAATTAAAAGTTTCTAAGAGGATAAATTGGTAAATAATTTTTTGATGAAGCTAATAAATTTCTGAAAAAATATAATCAGAAGATAAAGTTAGAATCAAGCAAGGTAATAGACACAAAGTTTTTAATATTAGAAAATACCAAGTGATTAGAGACCAGCCTGAGCAAGCACGAGACCCCCCAAATAGAAAAAATCAGCTGGGCATGGTTGCACAGGCATGTAGTCCCAGCTATTCAGGAAACTGAGGCAGGATTGCTTGAGCCCAGGAGTTTAAGGCGGCAGTGAGCTAGGATGACACCACTGCACTCTACCCACAGTGATAGAGGAAGACCCTGTCTCGAATAAATAAGAAAGAAAGAAAATGTCATGTGAGTATAAGTTTGTTCTAGTAATTTTTTGATAAAATATATGCCTTTATAGGAGAATGTAAATTACCAAATTTAACTCAGGAAAAAAGTAGGAAATCTAAATAGACAAAAATAAAAATAGTGAAAAGATCTGAAAACGAAAATATTACCTCCAGGGCAGAAACAGGTAGTTGTCACGGTACATAATTTTTCAGAAAATAGAAATATATGGAAAGTAACTCAGTTTATTAAAATGTTACTATAATATCCAAGTAAATAATTTCCCTTAAACTTTAATAAGTCCCTATGTATTCAAAATTCTAGGCCAGAGGTCTAGAGGCTCTATGTGAATTAAATTCCTGCTTTCAAGCTGTTCATAGACTAGTCAGGAAAGACATATAAAATCAAATGTTATAGTTAGCAAAATCTATTTCCAGCAGTGTGGCAAACACAATCTGAATAAACCTTTTTCCACAAATGATGCATTACTGTGGTCACAAGAAAATAAGGCAACTCTCCCAAAGGGCAAAAAGTAAAAAATAAAATGACAGTGAAACAAAAACTGAAGTTGAGGGTTCAGCAAGCATAAAATCTAGGGTTGTACTGGAGAGTAAGCGTTGGGCCTCCTGTAGGAAATACAACTTGAGACTCTTCTGTCAAGCTGTCACACTCAAACCAGCTAGTGGTCCAGTACTTAGCAGCATCTGGCCCCAAGGATAAGCAAATGCTAATTCTCTCTGGACGGCAGCATTCTCAATTTAGTTTCACAGGACTCCCACGGATGATCTCCAAAATTAAGAATAAAATTTTGCAAAATATATTAAGACAAGTCTTCATAAGTCTTCATGTGTATCAACAGAAAAAAAAACAGAGCAGAACATGTAGACCACCATTAACTCATGTTGGATTTATCAGTTCATTCTGACTGCTATATATAACATATATATTAATATATAATAACACATATAGGGACATTTCACTATAATTTGTTCATCCATTCTATTATGAATGTGCATTTGGTTTCTTGTTGCTACTGTGAACAGAACTTTAGTGACCATGTCTCCTGGGGCATTCATTTTCCTTAGGTAAACACCCAGAGGTGAAATGTATCTTAAAGTTCACAAGATAACGCCAACCCATTGTTTCAGAAACAGTTGAAGCAATTTATACTCCTACCAGCAATATAAGAGGGACTCCTGTCTGACACTTGATATTGTCATTTGTTAATTTCTGCCAACTGCTTGAGTACAAAATTGTATCTCATTATGGTCTTGATTTGCATTTCCTTGATGACTAATCAAGCTGAACATCTTTCTATGTTTATTGCTTATTGGCCATGTTTTTCCACTGTCTTTTGCCCATTTTTCTATTGGCTTGTTTGGACTTGGTTTCGATTCTTATCCAACGATTTCCCTAGTCCATTGCATTATTTTGGGGTAAAGGACAAATTAAATATCCAACATTAGGAGGATCCCCAGACACATCATTCCTGGAAACTACTCTGGCAGTTGTTTATGTTATTTGTTCCCCAAACTTGGTGTGGCCCCTCTCCTTCTTCAACCTGCTGTTAGCTCAAAACAGATGTCACCTGCTCTTTGAAGATACCCATAGGCCTGGCATAAAAAATTTGTTCTTCTGTACACCGATAGCATTGAATTCATACCACTCTTATTAGAGCAAACCATGTGTATAACTACACGTCTTTTCCCTTCCTTTTTCTTTATTTGGAATATAGGAGCTTCTTGGTGGCAGGAACTGTGCTTATTTGTCTCTGAATAGTCAAAAGACAATACATTGATACAAAAGAAGCATTAAATAAATGTTCAAAATTCAAAAGGTATGATTTTACTACAGGGTCTATTAATAATTTCAACAACATTCCATTCACATTGTAAGGGAGGCATTAAAGATTTGAAATCAAGTTCTTTGTTTAACAAACATTTGTAATAAGCCATTTTACTAGGCAGGTATAAAGAATACAGAGACCATTATTAAAAATCAAAAAATTTAAACAACTCTAGATAAGTGAAATACTTAATAGATATTCTGAATTGTCACACAATCCTCCGATAATTTATGTTAAATCCAATTCACTCATTTGGTCACACAACAAACATTAAGGGTACAGTAGTGCGCCAGACACTGCTTTTTAGGTAACTCAAATTGTCACTTGTATTGAAAAAACTTGAGCTTCTGGGACTATTTCACCATCCTAGAAATTAAATCAACATCAGCATCATGCACATATTTGAGTCTTTATGGAGTAGAAAATAAAGTACCTTGGACCGGGCGAGGTGGCTCACCTGTAATCCTAGCACTCTGGGAGGCCGAGGCCGGTGGATTGCTCGAGGTCAGGAGTGCAAAACCAGCCTGAGCAAGAGCGAGACCTCCTCTCTACTAAAAATAGAAAGAAATTAATTGGCCAACTAAAATATATAGAAAAATTAGCCAGGCATGGTGGCACATGCCTGTAGTCCCAGCTACCTGGGAGGCTGAGGCAGAAGGATCACTTGAGCCCTGGAGTTTGAGGTTGCTGTGAGCTAGGCTAACATCACGGAGTGCGGGAGCAACAGAGTGAGACTCTGTCTCAAAGAAAAAAAAAAAAAATAAAGTACCTCAAAGTGAAATGTCACCAAAAAGGAACAGGAGAGCTTCTATGGCAGAAGAGGCGGCTCCCAATATTAAGATGGACAGATGCAGAATCCAACAGGGCTGGGTTCAAACCCTGGTTCCAGTTCCTTAACCCCTAGTGCCACGAACTTCCCCGGAACGACTCCAGCCCACCACCCCCAGGAAGCGAAGTGACTTCTCCCTGTCTAGAAAAGCTAGAGTTGGGGGGGAGTGGTTAACGTCGTATTATGTGGATCCGCCCAACTCCTTCAGGTAGAGACTGGGAGGGGCAGAGCTGGCGCAGAGAGACCCCCACACCGAGTTCGGTTCCCGCCTCGCCTCCCTGCCGGCCGCCGCAGCTGGGTCCCCGGGACTTCAGCCCCTTCCCCTGCGTCGGGAAAGCGCACGACAGGCCGCGGCCGCGCACCTGGCTTTCGGGGACCACGCAGCTCTCTCGCGCGCGCATTTCCGCTTATGGGGACCCAGCCCGCCGCGCATCTCCCGTCGGGAGCCCCACGGGAGGCCTGAGCAGGGCCTTCACCCCGAAGCTGGGGCTTATCTCCCCGCTGCGACCGGGTCGCTTGTGACCGGCTGGGGACCGGGCGTTTCTTGCCCACGGGAGCCGCACCCCAGGCCGGACGCCAGGTACTCCAGCCGGACGACCCCCGGGTGGAGAACCGCCCCGCAGCCGCGGGAAGCTGGCTAAGCCGGGACTTGCGTAGACGCCACCCTGCACGTGGTGGCGGCTCCGCACTGAGCAGCCGGGGACGCCTTCTGAACTTGACCTTCACGGGGTGGAGACGCCCCCTAAGGCAGGCGTCCTGCGGCGCACTTCCCCGGCGCGCGGCGGCGCTGGTCCCCTGCCCCCCGCCCGAAGCCCAGCTCGGAGCCCGCGCTTCCTGGGCGCCAGGCCTGCTCGTGGCGTGCGGGACGCCGCGCCCACAGCGCCCTTCCGGCCGCGCTCGGCAGCCGACACGCGTCCCGCGCCACAGAACGTCGGCCGCTCTCTTCGTGACATTTTGCAGGCCCTGGAAAGGGTGCGCCCTTGCCGCTTCAGGGCGTACACCACGCCCGTGGCCGTGACCGTCCTGCGCTCGGCGCGCTCCGTGTGAGTCACCGCGTCCCCGATCACGTTCTCCAGAGAGACCCCGAGCACCCCCCGGGTCTCCTCGTAGATGAGCCCGGAGATGCGCTTGACGCCCCGCCACGGGCTAGGCGGCGGATGGCGGGTCGGTGATGCCCTGAATGTTGTCCCGCAGGACTTTGCGGTGGCGCGTGGCGCCCCCCTTGCCCAGCCCTGTTGCCGCCTTTACCTCGCCCAGACATTTTCGCGTTACAGCAGTCTCCAAACCAAGAAAAGAAGCGGGTAGCTGCAATCTGAATCTCACAGGAGTTGTGGGACCCGTTTGAAACCCTCATGAAAGTGGACGGAGCTCCTTAGGCCCCCTCCCCTGGAGCCTTCCTCCCTGCGGTTGTAAGTAAGCAGAAGCTGAACAAGCTGGATTTTTTTTGTTTGTTTGTTTACTTTTATGGAAAAGCCTCTGCACATTCTTGCCATAAATTCGAAGAAAGATTCATCATGCTCTGTTTGAAAGTTTAAACAATATGAGCTAACATAATAGAATTTATGTTGCCTTTTCTCAGCACTTAAAAGCAGGGCAGATCCTATACAACGGTGTCTGTCCCTGTCTCTTACTCCTTCCTTTCTTCTAATTCTAATTCTACGGTTCTTCAAACGAAATGCACATTCTTATAATACCATTCCTGACCTACCTTGAAAATCAATAGGAACCAGAAACGCTTTACGTCTTACTGGATTTCAAAGAAATTACAATTTTTCACATGTGGATCTTTTTAAGTCACCAGTAAGGGGAGAAGTTTTTGTTTGGTTTTGTTTTAATTAAAGAGCCCTCAGAACAGTGTTCGTCTAGAAAAAAATCCTGAATGGTCAAACTTCACTGCATGATTTTAATCCTTGACTCAGAGAAGAAGAAACGTCTACCAATCTTGAAGAGGTAAGGATTCTTGTAATGGCAAATAGGTTGCCTTGTTTATAGTTACACTTCTAAGAAATTAAGGTTAGAACATTTTCAAGTTAGAAATCTCTTGCTTACAAGAATAAAAGGAAAAATTGTGTCCAAAATAATAATTTTAAAAACTCTTTTTAAAATTACCCATGATATAAGCAAAAATTTAAGCTAGTTTACGAACTCATTGCAGGAATATCTTGTTAAAAATTGCATCAGAGAGACAAGCAGGCTGCTGAGATGAGCACAAACCAAGCTGTGGAGAGCCTTCTGGCTTTGAGCCAACAGGAAGATCTAGTGGATTTGCCAAAAGACTACCCCTTGAGTGCCAGTGAAGATGAGGGGGACAGTGATGGAGAGAGAAAGCATCAAAAGCTTCTGGAAGCAATCAGTTCCCTTGGTGGAAAGAATAGGCAGAAATTGGCTGAGAGATCTGAGGCTAGTCTGAAAGTGTCAGAGTTCAATGTCAGTTCTGAAGGATTAGGAGAAAAGCTGGTCCTTGCAGATCTGCTTGAGCCTGTTAAAACTTCATCCTCATTGGCCACTGTGAAAAAGCACCTGAATAGAGTCAAATCAAAGAAGACTGTGGAGGTACCCCTTAACAAAGAAGAGGTTGAACGGATCCACAGAGAAGTTGCATTCAATAAAACCTCACATGTCCTCTCCAAATGGGATCCTATCATCCTGAAGAACCGGCAGGCAGAGCAGCTGGTTTTTCCCCTGGAGAAGGAGCAGCCAGCCTTTGCTCCCATTGAACATATGCTCAGTGGCTGGAAGGCAAGAAGTCCACTGGAGCAAGAAATTTTTAACCTCCTCCATAAGAACAAGCAGCCAGTGACAGACCCTTTACTGAATCCCGTGGAAAAGGCCTCTCTTAAAGCCATGAGCCTGGAAGAGGCAAAGATGCGCCGAGCAGAGCTTCAGAGGGCCCGGGCTCTACAGTCCTACTATGAAGCCAGGACTCGAAGAGAGAAGAAAATCAAAAGCAAAAAGTATCACAGAGTCATGAAGAAAGCAAAGGGCAAGCAAGCCCTAAAAGAGTTTGAGCAGCTGCGGAAAGTCAATCCGACTGCAGCTTTGGAAGAACTGGAAAAAATTGAAAAGGCCAGAATGATGGAGCGAATGAGCCTTAAGCACCAGAACAGTGGAAAATGGGCCAAGTCAAAGGCAATTATGGCCAAATATGACCTGGAGGCTCGAAAAGCTATGCAGGAACAACTGGCCAAGAACAAAGAACTAACGCAGAGACTCCAGGTAGCCTCAGAGAGTGAGGAAGAAGAGGGAGGCACAGAAGTGGAGGAACTCCTTGTCCCTGATGCAGTGAATGAAGCACAGATGAATGCAGAGGAACCGAATCCCTGGATGCTCAGGAGTTGCACCAGTGATGCAAAAGAGGCTGGAATCCAGGAGGACGCTGAACAACTGCCAGAACTTTTGGACCACAATGTTTCTGAAAGTGAGGGAGATGAAAGACCGGTGGCAGAAGAAGAAATTTTGTTGAAAGAATTTGAGGAAAGGCGATCCCTTAGGAAAAGGTCCAAGCTCAACCAGGATGCTGAGTCAGTGGGCAGTCAAGAAACAAAAGATTCTATCAGCCAAGAGGTGCTATTTGAATTGAGAACATTGTCTCAGAAACTCAAGGAAAACCATCAGTCTGGGAAGCAAAAAGCAAGTTCAGTGGGGACTGTCCCCCAGGTCCAGAGAGAGGAACCTGTCCCAGAAGAAGAAGAATCTCTGTTGCTGCAGAGGCCAGAGAGAGTACAGACTCTGGAAGAGCTAAAAGAGCTGGAGAAAGAAGAATGTTTTCAAAATAAGGAGCTCCCCAGTCCTATTTTAGAAGGGCATTGGTTGAAGAAGAACCCAAATAATCAGACTGATGCCCCTAAGAAGAAAAAGAAGGAGCAAATGATTGACCTGCAGAACCTCCTAACCACAAAATCTCCTTCTGTGAAGTCTTTGGCAGTTCCCACAACAATAGAAGAGTTGGAAGATGAAGCAGAGAGAGACCAAAAGCAGATGATAAAGGAAGCTTTTGCTGGGGATGATGTCATCAGAGACTTCTTGAAAGAGAAGAGGGAGGCTATGGAGGCGAGTAAGCCACAGGATGTAGACCTGACGCTACCTGGCTGGGGCGAGTGGGGTGGTATGGGCCTGAAGCCCAGTGCCAAGAAAAGATGCCGGTTTCTCATAAAAGCCCCTGAGGGTCCTCCAAGGAAAGACAAGAATTTGCCAAATGTGATTATCAGTGAGAAGCGCAACATCCACGCAGCAGCTCATCAGGTGCGCGAGCTCCCATATCCATTCACCCACCATCAGCAATTTGAAAGGACCATCCAGACCCCTATAGGATCTACGTGGAACACCCAGAGGGCCTTCCAAAAACTGACTACTCCCAAGATTGTCACCAAGGCAGGCCATACCATTAAACCCATAAAAGCAGAGGACGTGGGTTACCGGTCTTCCGCAAGGTCCGACCTCTCTGTCATACAGAGGAATCCAAAACGACTCTCTGCACATCACAAAAAACAGTTGAAGAAAAACTCTATAGACTGAGTTGCTGGAAGAGTGACATCTTGCTGCCTAGGACCAGGAGCCCTGACGGCTCCTGCTTTGGCCCAGTTTTATTCTGCTGAAGGATGGATTCTAAAACTGGCTTGGCACACTGTGGGTGTAATTAAGCTACATTTTAGAAATAAGGCATTTTTATCTATTAAAAAAGTTGCATCAGACATTTGTATGTCCAATTATTCAGTATATCTGTTATTGGGTGCTTATTAACATTTAATTTAATTAACATTTAATTTTCAAGACACTTTGAGATAGGTGCAGAAGTTAAATAACTTACCGAAGGTCAGCTACTAAGAGACCTTTGACAAATTTCTTTAACTTCAGACTTAGGGCGGAATCAGTCTGGCTCCAGAATGACCACCTTAACCATGACAATATATGCTGCTTCCCAGCTCCAAAGACATTGAGGTTAATCATTGTGGTAGGCACTAAGGACATACATAAATACTTGATAACGTTATTTCCGTAAAATCAAATCTTTATTAGGATATTGAGATGGTAAATTTGTTTTACTTTTAATTAAATGGATACTATAATCCACATTAAATATTGTTTAATAAGCAGGTGTTTAACATTATATAATATAGGAGTGTAACTAAAATTAAGAAAAATGTTAAGATAATTAAAATTACCACAAGGAATTAGTAGAAAGTAATTTCTAATGTAAACAAAAAACTTACTTGTTTCAAATACTATGGGTCCGCAAATCGAGTACATAAGAAGTTGCTGCCATTCTTCCTTTAGTCTCTGGGCTCATGTATAAAGAGACCCCGCGTCCTCCAAGTCTTCAGGGAGAAGGTGATCCGCTGATTGGTTGCACCGGGACCTGCAGGGAGCAAGCTAAGGCCAGGACTTTCAGCGAAATGTTAAGTTCTGGCCAGGCCATCTTGTCTCCCCGGTCAGTTCAGGAAGCATTCATGTCACAGCCCTTAGAAGTGAACACGCAGCAGAACTTGGCCAGATGGTCGGGGTCATCTGGTGTGTAGTAAAGACGGGTCAGATGGCCCACTACCGACCAAGCCTTTTTGGAGCCAGCTCCCTCACACTGCCGGGTCGCAGGAGGCAAGGCACTTGTACACAGGCACAGGCGACATACCTGTACTGGGCAGGCAGAACTCGGCAGAGGCTGTGATTGCGCTTAAGCAGCAGCAGCCGGCTCTGGAGTCTGGAGTCGGAGAACTATCTCACTAGGACGCTGTTTTGTGTACGGGGAAACTCCGCCTAGAAAGCATGGCAACGTCTGGCACCCGGTGTGACTTCACTTGCTAGGGGCAACCCTTGCAGCTCTAATTCCAGACTTTTTCTGTTTCCGACCACGTTTCCTTATTTCTTAAGAGTTTCATTCCCTGGGAGCGAGTGTGAGCGTGGAAGCCCCAGCGCCTCCTAAATTCCGTACCCACTCAATCCCTCGGGGGTCCCCAAACGCGCAGCGGGCTGTCCCGGGGTATTTATAGGGGAGATTGTGTAAATGAGGAATAAGGGTTTGCTCTTTTGATTGGCGAGGGAGGGAGGGGGCAGTCCCTCTGCCAGAGCGCCGGTTGGGAGCGGAGCCTGCTAGTCATTGGTCACCGGAGCCGAGGGCGGTGCGGCCCCCGCTGGGAAGGCGCTTCCTAGTGGCAGCCAAGAGTTTGCAGCGACAGTTCCGGTGTGGCGCGCGGCGTGCCTGTGCCAGTCCCCGGTCGCAGTTTCTCTCCCTCTCCGGTGCTTCAGGCGAGAGGACATGTCGGGTCGCGGAAAGCAGGGCGGCAAGGTGCGCGCCAAGGCCAAGTCCCGCTCCTCCCGCGCGGGCCTGCAGTTCCCGGTGGGCCGCGTGCACAGGCTGCTGCGCAAGGGCAACTACGCCGAGCGGGTGGGCGCGGGGGCGCCGGTGTACCTGGCGGCCGTGTTGGAGTACCTGACGGCGGAGATCCTGGAGTTGGCCGGCAACGCGGCGCGGGACAACAAGAAGACCAGGATAATCCCCCGCCACCTGCAGCTGGCCATCCGCAACGACGAGGAGCTGAACAAGCTGCTGGGGAAAGTGACCATCGCTCAGGGCGGCGTCCTGCCCAACATCCAGGCCGTGCTGCTGCCCAAGAAGACGGAGAGTCAGAAGGCGAAGAGCAAGTGACCCTGCCGGCGCCCCGGGGGGGGCCCCGCTTCCCCAGCAAGAGGCTCTTTTCCTAGCCGTCCCGCGGTGATTTGGGGACGTGCTGGATGGATGTCTTGGGGGGCCGGCGCGATCTAGCGGGGAGGTGGGCGGCGAGGGGCCGGGCGGGCTCGAGGGCTAATAAAGTCGGTGAAAAGCGTGTGGTGGAGAAAGCTGTGTAGTTGCGGGGACCTGCCGGCCGACCCCGGGGCTGGCGGGCGGAGGCGACCAGGGAAGCTCTGGAGCAGGTGCTGGAGGGCTGGCTCGAGCCTCTGGGAACGCCTTTGGTTTGCAGATCGCGCTTGAGGCTGTACGGGAGGATGGGGGAGACAGGGTGGGGGTTGCCTTTTGCTCAAGTCGAGGCCAAGGCGACGTCGAGTAGGTGCGGCGGGGCCTGCTCTGGAATTATTTTTACTTCCCTTCCTCGGGGCCTTCGCTCTCCTGCCCTTCGTTTGTGGGCGGGCACGACCAAGTTCTGGGAAGAGGACTATCAAGTCGAGCGGGTCTCCCGGCAGGAAGTTGTCGCTCCGGCCATACTTTTCAAAAGGTGGCGTTAACTTTCTGTCCTCGCCTTGGTGGCCCTGATGACACGGTGTCGACTTAGACAGTCTCAGCCTAATAGCTGTTATGCTTTCTTTCATGATGTGAATGTCAGATATCTTTATATAGCACTTTTATGTTCACAATTCTTTAAAATGAGAAAACATGCAATAATATGTGTAAAACAGAAGCATGAGTCATAAGGTTGGAAATTCGTTCCCCTGACACTGTTGCGTAACAGTATGGTGCCTTTAGTCATGAGTTACACATGCTCATGAGCTTTTAAAATGAAAGTGCCTAGCTTCATAATGGTGTTGTCTCCATATTATATTCCTTTGGGAATCAGTTTGACTTTGCTTCATAAGAAAAAAAAAAACACCTCTTGCTTTTAGGAGTTATTTTTACTCAACAAATAACCTGTGTGAAATCTCTTATATTCTCCCACTAGTCTGAAGTGATACCCTCATTCCAGTGATGCCTATGGGAGTTGCATTGCTTAATGGCACAGTATTGCTTTAGTAAATATGTAAGGAAAGATAGGGCCAAATTATTTAAGTGCAGGGAGAAACACATTTCAGATCAGGAAGCAGCATTTAAAAGTTCAACACTAGTTCTATTTCATCCTTCTTGGCAAACTTCATCCTGGTCCACACAGGCCCCACAAAAAAGATCCCAGTTTAGTTTCACATCTTTGGATTCATCTTTCCTGTTAGAGTTGAAGTCTTCCTGAAAGAAAAAAAAACAAAACAGCAAGTCTTCATCCTTAGTAGTGGCTGCCCCATCTTCCCATATGGACTTTATTTCATCCTCCTGTTTATTGAACACTTCTATGCTGTGCTCTGTACTAAGTGATGGGAGTATAGCTGTGAATGAGGCCAACCAGAGTTCCAGGTTCTTGAAATGCCCACACCATTTTTTTTTATTGGTTCCTGATGGCAGGACAAAGGACAGGTACATATGTTAATATCGGGGATCAGCTTCTGTTAGTACTTGTGTTGTCTCTCTGCTGTTTGTGGAATGAATATTGGAATTTTTTCTCCTATGTGGTCACCTTTGAAGTGTAAAAAGATCAGACTACACACCTTTCTTCTGGGAGGCAGATTATTGTCTCCTAATTCTGGGGAGAATAGACTACAAAGACACTGTGGGCAAGTTCCAGAATGCTCAGCTAGTAACTCCTCTCTACAGTTTCCTCACATTTAAAATAGGCATTAGGTCTGTTTTGAGGATTGAGATTGTTCACTTACTATGAGCCACATGTTAGGCACCCAATAAATTGAAAAAAGTACTATTTCCTACAGGGATGAGGTTTTCCCTTATAGATCATAATATAGGTAACATTCGCTGATAGGATTTTTAAAAAATGCCCAAGTATTAGAATTAGTTCTCAATGTTACCACAGTGGAACAAAATATATATGTATATATTGTGTTGATTTTGACATTTGAGTCTAATTTCTTAAAGATATGAGGCATCCGAGAGATCACTACCAAAGTGATGAAGAAAAGAGGACAAGGGCCATCAAATCATTTGTAAGAAAAAAATCACTTTTGCCTTTCCCCCTGAAGATTCACAGGAGTCTGCCTAACCCTGTTACCTAAGAGTGACATAGATACAAAACATAGTAACTGCCCATCCCCCACCACCACTGCCCCAGGGATTGGTAGGATCCCCTCAAATACTTCTGCCTTAAAGTTCAGTCAGCCCCTCACCATTTTTGTTTTTGAGAGTTTCTTTTTTTTAACTTGAATAATTTATTGGCAGCTATAAATGCATACCACCTAGAAAATCAGCTCAGGCTGTGATCCTTGATGAACAAATACTAGTTCTTGCTGACCTGTGATTGTTAATTTAAAATGCCAGTATTTCTTCAAGCACCAGACTATAAGGAAGAAGACGTAGGACAAGAACTGGTGGGAACCGAATTCTGATTTTTAGTAGATTTGTACTCCATAGTTTTCTTTACACGTGCATATACTATTTCCTGCAGAGAGAAGCCATTCAGTGTGGCAAGCTGTGGATTTGTTTGATCTTTGTTTTTCTTGCAAGGCCAGTCTTGTTTGTGTCCCTGAGGACTGGTCTGTTTAGTTTTGTCTGCCTGGAATCAAATGGTTTAGTGGGGCCCCGTAACTGGTGATGACCGGCTTACTATGTGCAAACATTCACAAAGCCCCTTCCAATGGTTGAAAGGTCAAATATCACAGTGTTTAAGAACTCAAGCTCTCTGAAATGAGACTTAGATTCCCATCCACTCTGCTCCTTACTAGTTATCTGATTTTGGAAAGGTTACTCAATCTTTTTAAACCTCAGTTTTATCTTTAAAATGGGCATAGTAATAGTTTATCTCAGAGGGTTTTGGAGAGGATTCAATGAGATAATGTGAATGAGGGCACTAAGTTTTCGATATAGAAATGTGCTCAATGAATAGAGGCTTTTCTTATTTCTATGTGAAACTGGATTTAGAGTGAGTAGCAGTAGTTATAGGACCTAGGTAAATATATAGTAAATAGGTAAACATACAGCATTCTGGAAATCCTGTGACTTTTGTGATAGTAAACCATAAAAACAATTTGGGCGGCTGTTTTACTAATTACAGGACATCTACAATTTAATGTATAACAAAAAAGAAACTAATAAATGATTAAAGTTTGTGAACCCGAGTTTGCATTTTTTTTTCTTTTTGTCCCTGAAGATAACCTAGTTTAGAATTTATGGCTTGTTAAGTGCACCCACGAAGATTAGAAATGGAACCTGTTTGT